CAAAACGTATTTAATCACATTATTAAAAATTGTCAATATTCTAGCCTTTTTTATAGTATAATAACCTATGATAATTTTTATCCTAATTATGGTGGTTTATAAATTTAACTCTTTATTAATTATTATTTTGGTTGAAACAACTTACAAAAACTAATCATTGTGCTAATTGATTATTAGTCTATTCATAGTTTACTGCAAAATAACAGGTAAAAACCGATCAGTAAAAAAACATTATGTCATGATGTATTTGAGTTTTAAATCTGGATCGTACTTTAAGACATTATCCCTTTATAATATTTTTCTAAATGTTACTATGTAAAGTAGTAAACTTTCGTTTAATTTAAATATTATTTTCTATACATGAACACTGATGTAATAATTTAAACAAGGTAGCCTATTTACACGGGTTTTTGTTTTTATATTTACTAGCTATTCGATAAATGTTGTCATAATGCTAAGGGTGAATTTATCAACATAATAACAAAGCAACATATCCACAATGCAATCCAATACTAAGTTTGTTAGCCCCAGTACCAGATGCTGTAGTAGATAAAGGCAAATTGAGGATCACAAATAAAGATCTGTTGGGTTTGGAAAGTGGTTGTTTCATCTCCTAAATAACTTTTGCGGTAATCTTCTAGTGAAAGAGGATTTTATTTAAATTCCTTGAGAAACAGTAATGCAATTTAATATATTATTATTCACTTAAGTAACGTAAAATGCTTATCCAGGACAATTGAAAAAATATTTATGTGTTATATAAACATTGCAAGTAGCTGGGTTAAGAGTTTATCATATTCTTTCAGGCTATGGTTACTTCTATAATACGCCAACTTAGAATGTTGCCAAGTGTGTTCAGAAGAAACTACAATTATAGTTCAATAGTAGGGCAATTATACGATTGATGATGCTATGGTAACTTGGAATTAAAAACTGTATATTAGACCAAAACACTTAATTAGTGCTACGCTTGTATCACGACTAGAGTTACCGCTTACATTTTTACCTAAATGTGGACGATGGTGGATTTTTTTCATCAAAAGGCTATTCAAAATACAACAATTTTAAAACTTTAAGATGACGCGATGATACAAAATGGTGTCACACCGAACATTTTAATCCATCCGTTTAGTTATTAGATTAATTAACTGAGCTTATTCGTCCAAAGAGGTGTTAAGAAAGTACCGTCGTAGCTCTATAGTAGTTTACACGACGATCGTGCAGGGATAGTTGACGACACGAGTAGAAAATTTAAAGCACAAGTCTTGGCGAGTGCCTTAATGAATTTTACGAGTGTCGTTAAGGCTAATTACGCGAGTTGCGTACACTACTTTACCTACGACCGTTTCTTAATTACAAAAAATCACTACTCATTACGTCTAAAAGAAGTTATGTTTTCTTTTATAACTTCTCATAACCACTGATTGTGATGCATTTACTTATTGTCACAACCACGTACTCATTGTTTACTCAATTTATTTGGTCTTAACAACCTCACACGAAAAGCTGACGTTTGAAGTACTACAATTTTACTTATTTCCTTCAATACTTGAACCTCATTGGCCCGTTATCGTGTTGTAAAATGAAACAACAATGCTGTTAAGTGAATCTTTTCAGTTCTAAGAACTGACATAAAACGTCTCGTACAAAATATTGTCGTAGGAAAAAGCATTAAACCTATTACCATTAACTTAGAGCATTAAATGTATCACACTTTGAAATCATTCTCGTAGTATTGTGGATTGACAATATTGACCTCTAGTTAGGTCTTTAATAAAGAATTATTTGTACAACCACTAGTATGCCAGTTTTCTGCAGTTGTTATTGTCACTCTTAAAAAAGAGCTGATTTGAAACGTTACTAAATACTTATCAACGAGTAGAGACCTTGTAAAAGACGAATCAATATTCATCTAAGGAAATTGTATTGGAGACGATATCAAGTTTGTAATGCGAAGGTGTTGTAACGTTAGTTTGGGTCCAGGCGTCTGGCATAGCAATTATAATTAATTTCCCTAACGTACTAATTATCAGGTGTGCAATATCGACACTAGGGTGTTACGTGCTGCAAACCATGTAGAATATATTCAACACAACATAATGGTCTTCAATTATATAATTTAACTATGGGCGATGCTGTGTAACACAAGTGTGTTGACCAAAATTATTTTGGAATATTATTATTTCCTTTTTTTGGCATTCGTAAGATGAGATGATTAGTGAATTCCGCATAATGGGAATAAGTGATTACGTCATGTCCCGTGGCCTAGAATCGGGTCAGCCTTATTTTTTTCGTTTTGACATCCCCAGAGGCAAAACACTATACGTTCTTCTTTACATTTTAAATTACAGGCATTATAATTTTACCTATCTGATGAAAAATAAGTACATGTATTTTTTAATTGTCAAGAAATTCTTGATCATCATTGTAAGTGTTATTAGGATTACGTAAAGTAAATCAAAATACATCTAATAACACTTTAAAAACTTACTTACCTACTCCTGTGGCCATTGAAAACCAAGGTGGTCTTTGGCCTCGCCAACCATGTTCCTCCAGGATCCTCTGTATTCTACCAGCTCCAGGTCTGCTATCATACTCCTTAGGTCCTTTGTAACCTCGTCAATCCATCTCATCCTTGGCCTTCCCGTTGGTCTCCTTCCCTTATATATTTAAACATTTATACATTTAGAAAAATTAATACGAGATAATAAGTGGTGATCGATCTCGATTGGACATTCTAATAATCATTATAACCAATACAGTAGGTAAATTACATACTACTTACTATGTTGTGTAGCTACTATATTAGGAGTTAATGGTATAAGTATCAATGTATATTTTAAGTGTCATAAAACGTATTTAGTTTTACTGTCTGTTATGAGTCTGTTCGCTCGATAATACGAGTAAAATTATAACATGATGGTAAAATTTATTAAAATTAGGGAGTTTGCGAAGTAGCACGATTTAACACGGGCTTCTGGGGGGTCAATGGAGTCGAAATTGGTTCACCCCATCTGAGTCTAAAACTTAAATTTTGCAGGCTATTTCTATTATACCTTCAAATGTTCATGTTTGATTATATCAAACAATTTCCAATTAATGACAAGTGCTCTTTTCGAAGACAAACTAATATTTCATAGTATTCCACTGTCGCCACGGTGAAGTAGTGTGTTTACCGAATTATTATTTGGAGGAACACACAAATTCAGACAGTATTGATAACCTGTTGTAATGCTAATCTAACCATTGTTACGCTCATACAGGTTTTGGCACAGCAGATCATAATAATGAAGCCTGATGTTGATTATTAATTTACAATGCAATCAACGCAGGCATAGTCTCGTGACGTTAAGCCTCTCATGATATCAGTGTTCAGTTCAGTAAATTATTAGAATTGTTAGTTATGAAATGAGTCCATCGATATTCCCTAAACAATACAAATTACTTATTATATCCAATTAAAATTCCCTACTTTTTAAATTTGCTAATTAAATATTTTTTCTATAATTTTAAATTTACGGTTTTTTTAATTTTTTTTGTTCTTATATGTCTTGAGGAAAATACATTTACCTGGTTTACAACAAGGAAATAGTGTATATTCTTATCTAAAATAGTGTATATTTTTAAATAAATAACTAAATAGGTGATTATGTAAGTAGGTAAATAGAGTTGACATTTCCATTCTTTAGTCCATTCAACTCACTTTATTATTTAGTGACTTGTGACTTGACCCTGTTGATTCCACAACAAATAAAACATAATAAAAAACAAATACGGAGGTTTTCTTGAAAAGGAGTATAAAAAGGAAAATGAAAGCCTTATCCAAATAGCTTTTCTGCTTTTGAACTAATTTTCTACGGTGACGATTAACAGGGGCCGAAATATAAGTAATGAAACTCAAATCGTTCAGTTACATTTTGAGATAATTTGTAAGATCAGGTACATTTGATAATGTTATCTTTATTTCATTTATACTTAAATTTTCGTCATCATTTTAATTTACGTTTTATTCTGGTAAACAGAAATAAGTTATTACAATATAATACAATGGCTTGGCGTATTAGGCTTAGGAAAAACGTTCGACAAAGAAACCAAGCGACATAACAACAACCCAATCCAATACCAAGGTAGTTAGCCTCGGTTCCCAGATGCTGCAGTAGATAGGCAGTTTGTGGAGTCAGAATGAGGGTCTGTTGGGGTTGGAAAGTGATCGTTTGGTTTCCTACGTTTTACGATAATCTTGCTTTTCCAGTAAAAGGTTGTTTGATTGATTAAATTGATTCTTCAACATCAGCATTCGTGGTTCTTGTAATTTTGCAATATTAGCAATACAGTATTTTCATAATAAGATATATGTGTCTATTACAAAGAGTATAATAATAATTTATATTAAACAATACATGTTTTTTTTTTAAGTTTTTGTTTGATAAAATATTAGAAAAGGTTTCACGTTACTATATAACTTGTAAATTTATAATAAAACAGTGAGGTTTGATTGACCGTTTTTGATTCATTACTTGATGTAAATAAAAACACGTATAGTTAAAAGTTATAGTATTTTTTTAAGATTTTATCTTAAAAGCTGTTCAGAGACACACTGAATATCTGTACTACTACTTCTACACTAGGATACACACACAAAATACAATTTACAAAACACGAAATAACTTTCATTTTTAATGAGAAAATTATGCAAAACATTTTTGTTTGTCGTCCAGACTCTATGAAACTTTTATTCTCAATTTGCAAAACCATGAAACTATGCTATGGACAGGCAGACGACCTAGCAGCTTCGTCATAGGCTTCGATTGATAATGATCGATTAGATAATGCATCCGTTCTACTCCGCAGCCTGCATGTCTTTACATATATTATTTATGCTCTGTTCAATTTTAACGATAATTTCACTATAGTAAACCACTAGACAAAATGATTTGCTTAAAATACGCATTTTGTTTTATTATTTTAAAAGCAAATATAAAAATATAAATTTACAAAGTCTACCAATAATGGGCATGTTTCGCTAGATATTTCAACTCAATTCCTAGGTTGAGGAGCTTCCACTGAGCATCGTACATGGCGTCTGGGCGAAGTTCCTCTGTTGGGAACAAAAAACATATTGTATTAAAGAAATTGCGAAAAATTCGATAATCATACATAAATAACTATTTTAAATATAATCCTTCTGGCGAAAACACCTTTTTTCAATTTCACAGCCGTCCAAAGTCTCCAACCTAGCCAAGAATGGTATACCCCTATTTGTAAACCATTATATAATACCATATCTGAGGCAGTAAAAATGTGTTTAGCAAGTCATATCAACTCGAATTATTCCAAAACCTACTTTTGATTATTTTTTCAGTAAATACATTATTCATCTTTCATTTAAGCCTAACTTGAATGTATTTGCTGGATCCGTATATTTCGTATATTAAACATTTTTATAGTTAACGAATGTGCTGTTCGCTAAGTGTGTGATACAAAAATGAAATATTAACCTTCACACAACGTAAACTATTTTTTAGTTTCATTTAATAGATAAATTATGTACTGTACTCCTCTTACAACAAAAAGTGCACATATCTTTAGTCAAAACTATCTAGTTGAAATTATTTACTTAAAAAATTAATACGTGTATAGATTACATAAAGTTATAATTTATACGATTTATCATTACAGGAAAGTATACGGTTTTGTGAATGCATTGCAGTTCAGGAGAACAAATAATCTACTTTTGTTAAAATACACTAATGGTATTGGTGTTATTCGTTTTCATAATACTGTGACTTATATTTTTACAAGATAAAACAATTTTAGTAGCTTGTAAAGTTAGCCTATAATTTATCATTCTATTTTACATCTAACTTACTTCTGAAATTGCCGATGCAAGCGAAGTCCAGCATTTGCCCATCCATGGATGGAAACTGGTCTAGATGGTGAGGACGAAAATTCCAACCCCGTCCCTCATAGATCGTTCCATCATCCCCTATCAGAAAACTGTGAAAGATAGCAATGAGTAGGCAAAATCAAACCATCGTTTTTTTCCTTTTTAAATATAAAAGACATTTACAAATGGGGATTATAAAAGTTTTAAAGGAGTCCTAAAATGTCAAAAAATGGAAAATTTTATATGGAATAACTGCAGTAATTAAGTGTTATAAATCTATGAATTTATTATTCATATGAAGTTCTCTCACTAGAAAATTTAAATGTGGTAAGCTGAGTATTAATAAATGTTCCAAAGAAAGGTTACACGTGTTTCTCTTTTTAGCCAATCAAAATTCAATATTATAGAAATGGCATACGTCAAGTTTTACGTTACATTTGTTATATAAGGCAGGTATTATTAAAACATTGATTATTGAGAGCATGCACTGCAATGCACCTTTGCTTTTAGCTAATACATAACTTAATTGTGAATATAAACAATATTTTATCCTAAAATTTCAAAACGTATTTCTTTCCTTTACATTCATATTTTAAATTTAACTTGATGATAAACACAAAGAGCTGAAGAGACAGGTTTGGGTGCAATTAGAATCGTCTGTCAACGTAAAAAGCTCCTAATTAAAATGTCTGGAAATCTTACCAAGCAGACAATTAGAAAATACTTGCAACGAATAATCCTTTGTTACATGGATGGGCCTTTTTAACAACCTAATTTCTGAGAACCTATTTTTTTGATAAATAAAACTGCCATTGCGTTGATAAAATTCCACGGCAAAAGGCTAATAGTTTTTTTTTACTGTTATACTTACTTTGAGACAGTTATTTGCGTATTTTAGGTTATATATTCGTTAATAATGAGTATATAGTTAATTGTGCGTAAATCTGAATGTTTTTACCGGCTAAGATTGGTTGTTCCTTTAGTTAGGACCATTTATTATGAGACACAAGATCAAGTTCTCATGGGCCAGTTTATAAATTTCAAACAGTTATTACACTTTTCAGGGTCCTACTAGCAAGATTTTCACAATCTTGACTACAATAACCAAAAATCTAAATAACTGCTACTGAATTTAATAACATTTCCATTTTATCATAGTTATCTCCATTTTTTTATTAGTCACATAAACGCACAGGTCGGTAAACTAATGTAATTTAGCCTACTATCAAGATGGCTTAAAGCAACAAAAAGTAAAGCCTAAGTATCGTGTCTGGTTATTTATGATGAACCAGATGGCTCAGTAACTCAGTACAATCAGTAATTTTAAAAACCAATCTATCTAACTTTCAGACTTGTTTTTATAAAATTACGGAATAAGAGCATGTGTCCTTTGTACTTTAGCACAAAACCATTCGAAACAGATGAGATTTTCTTTTCTATTTTCTTTTAATATACCTGTTCAAAAAAATTTTGGTTTATTATTATAGTGTTAGAAATCTCAATTTAAATGGACTTAACTTTGCATTGGGATGAAAGTGGTTAAAAGTTTTTTTGTCTGTACTATTCTCGAAAATGTCACTTTTGTGCATTATCGAGCCATGCAGTTAAACGATCCCTATATGATCGTTATATGATGAGTCCCTGTAAAACTTCATTTGGAGATCATGTCATGTTGCCTTTGTCTGGAACCCCATATAAGTATATGAGTAAAATTATGTATACCCATTTGACGGACTTGTATTTAATGTCGGTACATCCGTCCTTCATGTCTCGATCCTGCATGTCCCGGAGTATTCTGGAACACTCTTCCTTGTTGGAACACCTCGGCGCGTGCGAGTTGATGGTGAGGAACACATATATGATTGGGTGACGTATAGGTTTGTTCCCAGTGTGTTCCACAGCTCCCCACTCGGCTCGGGACACAACGGACGCCTTTTCGGGCTGGGTGGAAAGTGTTCTATACATGTGTGCTACGGAAAAGTTCTGTGGTTTTATTACATAATTTGTTATAAGAAAGTTGAATGTTTAAATGAGGTAGTTATTAAGAAAGAATGGGGACAATATTACTGTGTGATGGATTTTATAAATATTTGGCACATCAATAAGGATCCTCTATAAGTATACAGTTTTTCATGAATCAGCAGCAATATACTTAAAAATTCTAAACATGGTATTTCGTTTGATTTTTTGGCTTAATTCGTCATAAATTAATTTTGTGAAAAAAGAGAAATCCAATCATAGGCTATATGAACAACTTATCGCAGGGATAACAGAAAGTGAATTCTAAAAATATTAGTATTTCTGTTATTAATACATAATTTATCAAGCTGAAAAGTCATAATCACTAAGTCATAATACGAATCTACAAGACATGTTGCAAGTTAAATCCAAATTGTAATAATTTTCAACTAACTATTATAATGAAAAATAACTAAATTATATAAAACTATTTATATGACACACTGAATAACCCTAATAGTATTAATAAATAAGGAGTAAAATATATATTTACAAGTCCTTAATAGTTTTGTTATCTTTATTTTTACCTCATAATAATATAAAAAAGAAAAACCTCTTGCAATTAAGTTACAATAATTTTGCCTGATAATATAGTGTTATTGTAATGTTTCTATGTAATAAAAATTAATAATAACTTACCATAAAGATTTGATCTGAATCCATGGTTTTGATTAAATAATCTGTCGTCAAGAAAAACTAAACATACTGGAATCAAAAAGCTGTTGTAGTCATGTGTTTAATTTATCTAGACTGCATAAGTTATTAGTTTCCCTGATAGTATTATCTAGTTTCGGTCATTATCTACGTGATAGTACGTCATTCCTTAACAGTACATTAGTAGTTCCGATTACAACAAAAAAAAAATTATTAACGAGCTTTTAAATTGAATATTCTCTGTTTGCTGAACCGTTTGGTATTGAGTTTCTGAGAAACAGAGCATTATTTGGGTAATAATTTTTGCTGTTAAGCAAATTGTTTAAAATTGAAACCCATTATGCGTGGAGGCATATTTTAACTATAATTTTTAGTATCTATAAATTTTTACTTGTTACACATTGTGAATAATTTTTATGCAGTGTACTTCTAGTATAATATATTTTACATACTAAACATACTTAAAAGTTATGACAGTAGATAGTTAACTCAACCATGATGGATTTAAAATATTCTTTATATAAAGAAAAAAACATAAAAAAGGCCAAATTGTTATTAAATACCACGCATAAATACTCTGAATACTTAAAAATAAGGTTTTATTTTTTCCTAAGATTGCTTTTTGAAGTGGTAGTTGTTTACTATTCAGCTTTTTAATATAAACAACTTTGTTTATAGACTTGTCATAAAACAATTTTGGAATACAGATCATTTTTTTTTTTATTATAACATTCGTCATTAAATGTAAAAAATTTGAAAACTATTATTATATCCTGAAACACATCCTTAAAATACAAGGAAAAAACTCCAACTGTGAACTAGAACTTCTTTTGCAACCATGGGGGCAACCTCATTTTCTTCTGAATTTTTTATTTAAAATCCAATGATGATCTTGCTTACAAAAATGTAACACACTTATTAAAGACTATTTGCTCTTGGAAAGTCTTGGAAATAGAGATTTTAAATTATTTTTTTCAAACTTTAAATGAATAAAAAGGGAATTAAGTATATAAGTTGTCGTGTTACATGATTTATTAATAGGCCTACAACTTTTCAATTATACTGGTAAAACGGTAACCTACATACAATAACATACTCCGTGGTAAATTGTTAGTGTATTATGATCATTATGAAAAATGAAGGGTATTTTCTGTATTGGTAGAAATATTTTTTTAAATATTTTTCATTTAATAATTAAGTGTAAATCAACTATAGAATAATCGTTGTAGTTGGTTGCGTAGTCATGTTTGTATGTTTTTTTTATTTATTCATTCAATAAAAATATTCCGTAAAATAGTCCTTGGGGTTGTGGTAATATCATTTAGATAAAATATGTTAGTTATTTGGAGAGATTTGATCCTGGGACCTTAGGGACATAAGTCCCGCACTCTACCACTAAACCAGCTCGCTCCATTAAGTCATACTAAGTCATACTTAAGTCCATTGTACAGAAGTCCATGTGTACAGTTTAATGAGCAACATTTTCCTATTATGGAATCACAAATCAATAGATCGGCGAATTAATTATAATCCAATGGTAATATCATACTCAATTGCTTTTTTAATTGGGTAGGAGGAAGAACCCAAAAATGAAAATGCGCGGTTAAAAATTTTCTTTTGCAAAAAAGGGGTTTTTCAGAGTGTGGCAACGAACAAAACTGCAAATGTTTGCACTATAAAGATATTTTGTTATGCAAACATTCTCGATGCATTTGGAGAAGGTTTCGCAATATTTTGCGTCAGTTTAGTGGTGAACTTAACCACTGGTCCTCTTTTGGCAATTATAGGGTAGCAGATTTGCCAAGTGTTATATTTTTTACATAATGACCATTGTATATTACTGCTTATTGACCTGTAATATTTATTTGTAAGAGGGTTGTAAGTTATAAGGTTCTTGGCCATGGGTTTTCGCAGTAGATGCAGGCCTAAGGTAGTGTGCCTTTCAATGGAGTTGGTTCCTATGGAGTTTGTTTTTCGCCTTTTATTCGGAAGGAGGTATTTGTCATTGGTACTTTATCGAAATGAATACAATACGTACCTTAAACTTCCACGAACAACTTATCCTTACCATTGCCAGCTGATTCCCTTTTTGGTGTTGCAAGTTTTAAAATGCTGCAACATTATCGTTCGAAAAAGCTATTTTAAAACATCTTTGCCTTTTTGTTTGACACATGAAATTGGTGTTCAGTGCTTAGTTACTGCTGCACATAAAAAATATTTTGTCAATTGTTAATAACACCATTCAATAACTGTTATGTATCTACGCCATTTATTTGCTAATTAAGTATAATATAAAATTTACATACAGTGTAAAGTTAGTTAATAAAATTTTATAAAACGTGTGGTATTCATCATACTATAACACTCTGTTACATATTAGGATAAAACCCTTATTCCTCTTCTGCTTACATCTGACAGTAATTAGATTGCACTGCTAACACTATCACATACTGCAAGGGGGGAGAAAATCGTGGTAATATCATGTTACGAGCTCTTTATAGCCAGCCAACAGAACTTCCCTCCATTCTCCTCCCAGTGCATTATGTTCGATCCAGTTACGTTTTACACAACAAATTTGTATCCCTTTTTAAGCTGAAGAACAATTCTTTAACTGTAATGTGTTAATATGCATGAACAATTTATTTTTAAATTTAGTAACCTTAAAGAGTGATTTAATCTTCCCAGTATTTTCTTAAATGGTTGAAATGGTCAAATACATTAATTTAAAATACTAATTCTCACTTTCTCACATTCGGAAATTAATCTTAGAAAAAGTATTGTTTAAAATCAGAGGTAAACCAATAATACTATTCAATCGTAAAAATCTTGGATTCTGCATAGTTTTTAAAAGTTGCGTTTCTATAACTAACAGTATTTAATAACACTTTGACAATAATGCTAAACATCACAAGCATTTAAGATGTCCACCTTTTCATAGGACTTTTAGTGTGCTTTCTGAGAATTTTGGTGTTAGACTATATCATAACTTCTATTAAGTTGATTCAACTGTAAGAATTTGAACGCGTTCATGTGTTAATATGCTTCAAGAACTCCAGGCTCTGGTGTATTATGAAAAAATACGTCGATAAACTCTAGAAGGCCTATTAAGGGCAGCCCTACGATCCGTTCTCCATAATTTTACGTCACACTGGTATAAAATAGTATATTTCACAATTAAGGCGGAAAGTGGTTCTTTTATCCAAGAGTTATCCTCGAAAATAAGTGGAGGTTGAAAATGTAATTTTTGCACGTATATGAACCATACTGTGTGTCATACCACGCAATTATCTAAGCAAACTATGTACAGCACAAACATACTTTTTAACATGAAGATAAACTCTTAAAAGGACTTCTGCCTAGTTTTAAATTTTCTTATTGTGATCAGGAGCAGTTGAGTAAGGTATTTGATCAATTCGTATATTCCAATTGTGTTTTCATCCACTATGCTGTCGATGTATAGAATTATTGATGCATCAATAGTTTCCCTGAATTATTTGGGATTATTTCAATAAACTGTGTTTGCGTGTTATTCGACATAACCAAATCTAAATTCAGTCGACAACAATGCAACGATGAACTTCAGTTAAACACAATCAATTAAAACAGCGTTTCTTAACAACAACAATTGATAAAACCAATGTTTTTTATATATAACAACAGAAGTTATATCGAAAGTAATGAATTGCTTACAATCGAAGTTAAGAAGTTAGTACTGATGATTATACACTCTGTTGTGAGAAAACTATTTAGTTTGGTGAAACAGCCCTTGATGTTTGAAAATAACGTTAATTATAAAATTTAGAATCATTCAAAATGGGTAATTTAGTGAAATATTTAAAATTAAGATTTTACTAGTGTAGGTGATATAGAGACATCGTAACTAGCAATATATACTAAACATTTAACAAGTGGTTCATCTCTAACCCTTGCTGAATATTTGTTTCAATTAGGTAATATTACCTTCCTAATTTGTTTTTATTTGTGTTATATAATGTTAAGAAAGTTTTGTACAGTTTATCGTCAAAGAGTAAAATTTTCTTATATAGTATGTTTACTTCTAACAAGTCTGTTATATTAATTTAAATATTTGTCTAAGAAAACGTAATACTAGCTTTACAATCAATACATTTCTGAAAATTTTACAGTAACAAACACTTGCTAGACTAATATATTGTTCTATAGTATATTTATATGAAAGGTAACACAATCTGCAACTCTAGAGAAATCCAATCAGGTCCAAGTCTGTCCCAATTAATCGACCTACAACTCTACTAACATCCCAGATCAGCACTCAGTAAGAACATGGAGTTTTAACTCAACTTGCATATGTAATTTTTATATTGTAGAAACAAAACTGTGGAATGCTCATAAAAAAAATATTCATTGTTATTACAACATTGTTTATATTTCTTTGATACACAAATTATTTTATAAATGTCATCAAAAATTCCAACTTTTACCTATTAGGTTTGGTTTTGAAGGGGGAAAATTGCTCAGGTTAAGTTTTCTTAGCCTGAAATTACCAAAGAAAAAATTTTCGAGAATAAATCACGACCCATCATTTAAGTATTAAATAAATATTTCCTTATGAGTTACATAATACAATAGTTACCGGTATTAGGTACCTCACTGATGAAAAAAATTACGGGTTCTTGCTAAAAGCAATGGGGGCAATAACTAATTGCCGTGTATCATAAGGATGGTTTAGAAAGACATTATAAACTACAAAATAAATATTTAAACATACTGAAATTGAAAAATAAGGCATATTTCGGTTATTCAATAAATGTAAATGTTAATTATACTATATAATTATTCGTCCTGCTTAGTAGGATCAGACATCCAGACCATATAGTCGTCCTTGTCCGTCCCGACCGTGTCCGAGATGGGATCGCATACGCAAAGAACATCGTGTATGACGATCTCCTTCTCTAAACCTGATTTGACATCAGCAGTAGGCTAGGGGATCTGCTTTATCAAAACTCCCCGTCGTGACTTGACAACATCGGCAG